GTTGCTGTTTATCCTATGATAAAGTGTTAGGGAAATGCCTCTCTCAACTGCAGTTCTATGGAAAATTTTTTTTTGTAGAGGGAAAATATAAGGAAAAGGTAAGATGAGAAAAGGAAAAAAGAAAAAAAAGTTACTTGAGAAATTCAGGGGCAATAAATCACCACACCAGATGGTATTCATCTGTGAATGCCGTGCAGAGATATCAATTTTTTAAAAAAAAAATTGCATGGGAGTGTGCCATTAAAATGCAGACCTAATATCTGCCCAGTCTCACTGCCCTTCTTTGTGGTGCCTGGGCACAAGGTGACTTGGTTCTACCTGCCCACATCTTCAGGTGGCTTCAGAGTCCCCTTGACATCCCCACTGCAGCCCTGGGAAATGTTATGTGTCCTGGAAAATATGTGTCTGTTTGCTGACTAATTGTCTTCATTGCAGCAAGGAAGTGCAACTAAGTGTATTCTGAATAATATCCTTGAAATCCAAGAGATTGATTTGCAATGATCTTTCTGCCAAGTGATGCTCCTGCAGAGGAAAATGCTTTGTGTTTCATCCTGGGTTTTTTTAGAGGGCTTTTGTGTGCAAGCAGACAGCTTGTGATGTACCTGCACATGGTTCTGAAGGTCAGCAAGGAAGTTTAGTGTTTCTGTCAGTGTGTGATCCAGCAGAGGCTGCTCTTGCTGTCAGGACCACTTCACAGACCATCCTGGCCATGCTGAGTGGGGATCTGCAGATAATTCCTCTGGATGGAGAATACAATGCCTTAATCCACTCTTGGGTCTGCAGCACAGGGCATCATCATCAGGTGGAGGAACTCCCAGAGAAACATGCCAAGCAAGGACCAAGCTGTCAAATACTGGGAGGGTTCACCCAGTGTGCCATCTCTGAGGGAAACAAAGCAGTTTTGTCTGATTTGGGATTTTTAACGATTATTTGAAAGCAAAACAATGGGCATAAGGGAATGCAGGACAATATGTGGGGAAAAGGAGCAGGCGGATTGCAAAGCTCACATTGAGACCTCGGGAAACTGCAGCCTCCACAAACAGCAAAGTCAGTGACATTAAGGAAACTCCCCTGAATCCTCTTTTCACTCTTCCTTGCCTTGAGGATAAATTCTGTAAAAGTGTGATGCTATGGCAGGTACACAGGTGCATAAAACGGGATTTTTTTTTGGTTTGGTGATGAGCAACACAGTTCTGCTGCCTCTGAAGCTTTGGTAAGGAAAGGGAAAATAAAGGCAGGTGTGGATGTGGTGGTGCACAGGCATTTCTGCTCCTTGCAGCCAGAGCTCCCAGCCACATTGGTGACAAGGCTTTGTAAGTGGCCTGAGAAATGGGGCCTTGGGGAGCAAGGCTGGCAGGGAGAAAGTGGGGAGCAGTGTGAGCATGTGGGATGTAAGCTGAGCTGGGTAAACTCTTTGTATCGACTTGGAATTGGAAAAATATTTATCCTCTTTTAGATTAAAGGGAGATGCTGGCTGTGAATCCTGTTTAGAATATATTCAGAGTGTGGGTACCTTTTTTTTATACTTACTAAAAAAATAAATAAAAATAGAAAGTGTTGTTTCATTCTCCAGGCTGAAAATTATGATTTTCAAACCATAAATTGAAGGGGTCAATTTTGATTTTAATTCCAACAATTAATTAAAGAACTCTTCTGGAGAGGTTTGTAGAATTAATATTGATCTCAGATACCAGGCACTCTGCAGTCATGTCTCTGTCCTGGTTTGA